CAAGGAAAGCCCTGAGGATTACTGGCCCAGGCAACCAATTGCCAACGTGTTGTTTAAGAATGATCATGGTTTCCAGTACCCTGACTGATCTACAGTATTCTCAGGTGGCTTTTGGTGTTGATGAGACATGCTTTTTCCCTAGTGTCATAATAATAAATCTAAGTTAATGTTTATACAGTATAGAAATCTCATCTTGGAGCATTTCTGATTCTTCTCAGAAATGTAATGCTATTAATATATAAAATGTTACTGATACTGAAAAAATTTCAGGACCTTGGGTGTTTGTGGGAGCATAGACAAACAAGAGAGGAGGTAAATGAGTAATGAACACCTGTCATACAAAAGTAGCTATTTTTATGGTCTTTTTTACTATAAAAATCTCCCAGAAATCTTTTCAGCAGCCCAATTCAGATCGTATTAAGTAGCATTTATGATTGTGTTGATTATATTCAACAGTTATTAACACTTTTGTGGTTATATATGTCAGTCTGCTTTGGATTTTATTCTTATCCTTTTTGCCTACGACAATGCCAGATGTTCAGTAAAACTCAGATTTGTTGAATGAATTAATGGTAGACTTCTTACATCAAAGTTTATAAAACCATGAGAACATTAGGAAAGTGACACACTATAGCCAAGAAGCTAAGAGCCAAAGAGCTCTGGGTTCAGTCTCAGCCATTTATTTGTAATATATCCTTGGGCAAACTGTTAACCCCTCTGTGCTTCAGTTTTTTTCGTTTGTAGGATTGGGGAAGATCGACTTCATAAGATTATTGTGAGAATTAAATGAAACAATGCAAGTAGATCACTTACCATGGTGTTGGGAACATAACATGTTAAGCCCCAGGATGAAGATATTGTTACTAGTAATTATGGTGGTGACTGATAAAAGCAGATCTATAGGTTAAAGAGTAACTTCTCATTAGTCATTAAGATTTGAAATTAAAAAAAAAAGATTTGAAATTAAAAGAAAGTATTTCCTATTTTGTCTTAGGGAAAAGCAGTTGTTGGTGCTGGATCTTTTCCAGTTAATAATATATTTTTTATTTGTTTACTTTGCCAGAAGTCAGGGGGAAAAATTTTTTTTAATCTTGAATACCACTGGGAGGCTAAATTGTATCTATAAAAGTGCTCATGAGATAGGCTGGGGAATCAGAGTCAAAATAGAGGTTATAAAAGGGGAAGTCGTGGGAGAGAAAGAGATGGAAAACACAAGGTCCATGTGAAAGGAGAGTGGGTACACGAATGCTGCTAGTAACTGTTTAGGGTGCCATTGGTGAAAATGGGTTAGTTTCCCTAACCTTGCTTTCAGTTAAGGGGACAAAAACAGAACCCCAAAACTTTTCTTACATTTCTATATGATTACGAAATTTGTTAATGAGGTAGTACCTATATCAACACCTCTTGAAAGATTTTACAGGTTGATTTTAAGAATAAACTGATAAGTCAGTGAAAAATTAGATATAAAGAAAAATCACCCATTAGAAGCAGGCAGATTTTAGAAGAATGTCCAATAAACAGTCATCCTAGTCATAAATAGTTGTTTAATCCATTGTTTTTCTTTGTAAGAGTTGTATAAATTCTTAAAAATAGTGTTTCACTGGCACTTATTAGACACATTTCGGTTGTGCTTGAGTATATGTGGTTATGTTTTGTTATCTGTATGATTAGGTTCAGTAGGCTGACAGAACTTTTCTCTTATAACAGAGAGTGTTACCCTTGAGAGCTGTAGAAAGTTGCCCTTTTACGTAACTCATTGCAGTCCTATGCCTGACTTCCTGAACTGTTGTCTTCAAATTTTGGCTTTTAAAAATAGCCAATCTTTATTTAGAATTTAGAATAATGTGCTAATCTTCATGTTAGTCATCTAGGATTAAGAAAATAATCTCAAGTAGATTAAACATTCACCATGAGATGTGAATGAGATGGTGATAGCAGTAGTAATTTTTCCTGAAATATTGATTATTTTCAACCAATTTATACCACTTTTGAAAGAGAAATAAAGCTGTGGCTTCATCCATAGGTTTTTATATGCTCAAAATCATTTCCCAAGAAGAGATAAAAAGAAAACTGATATTTAGTCCAAGTAGTATTTAGTGCAGGTATGCTCTATTTAGGGAACTATGCCAGAGACTCCAATGGTTTCAAAGTCTGATAAGACTGTCCTTGAGGTTTGAGACGTTTCTAGTCAAATTGATAATGAGGTATAGGTGATAAGCTGCTTCCTGGTGGTTGTTGCTATTAGGAATCAAAGAAAGGAGGAGGAATGTCCAGATTTTACATTTGTTTCTTTCTGTTTATCATAGAAGATGGGGAAGAAAGCAATTCATGGAAGAATTATTACTTGAGATGACCCTGAAAGTGTGTCATACCACATATGACGTATTCAGTGACAAAAAAACTGAACCTGAGTCTGGTCAAGATTCTAGATCCAACTGCCAACTTGCAGGACATAGAAGGAACTAGGGACATAGTCTAAATGACATGGTGGGAATACAGTGTGATGTTTTTAGTTCAGCGCATGTTGAACAGGAAGAAAGATCACAGGTTCTGCTTTACCGGAAACCCATTATCTCAGCATAATTATTAAAAGTGCTTCCTTTCACATCCAAAGGTTTCCCAGTTTTGTATAGTCACCCATGGGACCAGAAATGCAGCTGTAAGTGCAAGACAGAAACTGGGGCTAGAAAGTCATTTTCGTTTATTTCTGAGACATTTATTGACCCAGGAGATACAGAGATGAGACACATGAGGAGGCTGCAGTCTGATGGAGGAAGGAGATATGTTGATAGTGTAATAAGTGTTTCAATAGGTGTGGTGGAAACTTTGGAGAGTACAGCTGATTTCCTGGCTAGGGGCAAGGATGGGGTGGAGCAGTGGTCAGGATGGGCTTCTCAAACGAGTAGGTTAAAGATAAGCGAGAATATACCAAGAGGGAAAAGGGAGTCGTGCATTGTTTAAAATAGTACTGACATTTACAAATAGGAATAATGTTCAAAGTAGAAGTAAGATCTATTGGTAGAGAAGTGTGGTGCATATAGGCTACATGGGGCATATGTGGAGAGAGGTCAGGCTTGGTCAGAAAGAAGGCAGTAACCATGTTTGGGAATTCTCAGC